CAAGTTTAGAAATGCCAAAAAACAAATGACTTTTCTCAGGATCGGATAGGCGATAAAGGATGAGGTCGATGATTGTAAAAGCCCGAATACAAAAGAGCACACACTCTGCACCCTCAAATAGAATTTGTAATAATAGCTAACTACTAAACAGATACAGTGTTACGACTTCGCCATATGTGATACGTTAATCAAAACTTGTATATCGGTAAACGCCATACTGAAAGGTTTTCAAGTTTGCATCCATTATCGTGACTAATCAAGATCTCACCAGAAGAAATTAACGTTATCATAATTGAAGACCTAATAACACAATGTCAAGGTCAGCAACAGCTCACCTCAAGCTACGGATTGAATTTCATCAAGTCAACCAGGTACAGAGTCAACGTCTGGCATTTGTCACATCAGCAGTCGACATCAACTCAGCACTCATCTGCCACATGCTGCATCTGCGTCTTCCCGCCAAGATAAGTCTCTTCGCGCCACTTCCGGCCTCCAAAATGGCGGCCAGGCGCCGTCGTCACTCTGATGAATTATCCCATCTGGCTGTCAGCCATTATCACATGTTCAGGTGATCAGCCTTCGCCTTTACTTTAGTCGTCTTTGCCGCCAGGTGATCACGCGTCAGAGGTCTTTGGTTCTGTCAAGGAACCTTTCAGAGGCGGCTTTCTAGATTGATCACAGCGGGTTTGTTATCGTGTCAGCGGTTGATCTTTGAGTGATGAAAAGTAGTTAGCAAAACATTACAGATGTGAGTCTCAAATGAAATATATGTCTCAAAAGAACACATGAACGAAAGAAGTATGACTTATATTTTAGAAAACGGAATTGCTTCAAATGCATAAATTATGTTGAATTATAATTTCGATATTGAGGTGTATCCAATAACTTGAGTTTGATTTAAACGGGCTGTTGCAAATCTTACACATTAACTTGATAATAGACTGATGATGACATGTTTTAAGATCGAACAAACTAACAAATAAGTAATGAATAACCACTAATGAATGATCACTTTCTGCATGACACGTGTTGTAGATGTATCTATACATATTAAAGACGTGATTGAGTCATGCGAACGAGCTCATCTTGAAAATTAATAAGTTAAACGGGGCAAAGCCCGCGGGTACAGCTAGTCTATATATACAGGGTGAATAAAAAGTCAAGACCCCCCCCTCTAATATTTTTCCAAGTAAATATACAGAGATATCCTTTTGGTGGTCGAGCAATCTTAGCAGGAAGTTTCATTTTATCATTTTGAAATGTTTGAGTGTCCCCCCAAAAGGGGGGATTTGGGGGGCAACTCAAATATTTTAAATGTAAACCCCCTTCAAGTGACACCTCATTTTGAAGTGTTTACAAAAACCTAAAGAATGGTGAAAACTAGAGGTCGCTATCTCTTCTCTATCCAAAATGGTAGCCCGTCAAATGTTGTGGAAAATCAACGGTAAAATTGTTAATATTGGCTGCCATTTTGGATAGAGAAGAGATAGCGAGCTCTGGTTTTCACTATTCTTTAATTTTTTGTAAACACTTCAAAATGAGGTGTCACTTAAAATGGGGTTTACGTTTAAAATTTTTGACTGTCCCCCAAAAGGGGGGATTCGGGGGACAACTAAAAATGTTTTAATAGAACCCCTATCAAGTGACACCTCATTTTGAAGTTTTTAAACAAACTTAAAGAATGGTGAAAACCAGAGCTCGCTATCTCTTCTCTATCCAAAATGGCAGCCAATATTAACAATTTTACCATTGATTTTCCACAACATTTGACGGGCAACCATTTTGGATAGAGAAGAGATAGCGAGCTCTGGTTTTCACCATTCTTTAAGTTTTTGTAAACACTTCAAAACGAGGTGTCACTTGAAGGGGGTTTACATTTAAAATATTTGAGTTGCCCCCCAAATCCCCCCTTTTGGGGGGACACTCAAACATTTCAAAATGATAAAATGAAACTTCCTGCTAAGATTGCTCGACCACCAAAAGGATATCTCTGTATATTTACTTGGAAAAATATTAGAGGGGGGGGGGTCTTGACTTTTTATTCACCCTGTATAAGGCAAAGCCCTCACTGACTCACTTATCACTAATTCTCTTACTTCCCATTTACCTAGGAGGCTGAAATTTGGTACACTGATTCTTTAGGCATTAAATAGGAAATAGTTATTTGTGCAACTAGTGAGAAAAGTGAGCAATTGTACTTTGAACTCGAGTTGCACATTATACTTTTCCTACAGTTACCATAAAACAAATAAATTTGTGAAGAAACATAACCTATTTTTACACAGAAGTGAACTTTTAATATAACATTTAATGTGAAGTGACAAATACAACAGTACAACAGCTGACCAGCTGATTTACAGCCAGTGCTGCCAACGTATTTCGCGCGCATACGACGTTGCCTGCATGTTACGCGCTCACTATTTCGTGCCTTCACGTTGCAAATCTGGAGTGAGTCAAAGTAATTAGAGTGAGACAATGTTTACATTGTCTCACTGATGAGCGAATTGGCCACTTTGCTTTCTCAAATCAGTGAGAGAACATGTACATTGTTAGGTAACTGTAGGAAAACTAAGTTGTTTTTATTCTGATCGGACTCTCGGGCTCCGCCCCAGTGGCTCTGGAGTTTCCCAAAAGTCGAACGATCAGATTAAACGTACTAGGCATAGATGGTTTTAGTTTAGACTCCGAGGTAATTAAATTTTCGTTGTTGCACAAATAACATTTCCTGAAAGTAAAAATAATAACGAATAAATGACATTTGCGCATTGACTGTGCTTCAAATTTATTATTCTAGAAAAAAAAAAATGCTGTACCCAAAACCTCTAATACCAGAGGTTTAACAACAAAGAAATATTTTGACTAGTTACAAATTAGTTCTCTGGTTACACATTTTTTTAAATTAGATATTGAGTATTTACAGAGCTGGTAACATCTTCATAACTAGACAGAAATAACTAAGTAAGTCGAGTAGAGATAGTCAGATTGTTTTGTGGCATAAACAAACGAAGCTTCTCAGTCTGAAATGATTTAGACCAGAGACTCTCAGATAGAAACCAGCACTGAATACAGAGATATACCACATGCATCATACTAACAATGAACAGCTGTTGTTTTTTTAACGTTATTGTAGGGTGTTTTTTTTTTGTAACATATTAATAGGCAAACTTATTGTTTTAGTCAATAATAATATTAAATATAAAAAAAAACTGTATAATCATCAAGTTTCATGCATCACAACTTGAACTTTGAGCTTTGAGTTGAGGACAACCCAGTATTTCATTACTAGGGCCCTTAAACTAAACGTGAGAGTTTGGTCCATTAATTGGAAGTATATTTACAATGTTTTCAATACTGCACACCCTTTAAACTCTACTAACTAAAAACAAACAACAACAAATCCATCAATGGGTGGTTTCTCGAAATAAGGTCACAATTTTTTCATATAGTTTTGCTATTAAGTACGAACATTAGACTAGGCATATGTATATTTTTGTTGCCGCTACATAGATGCATTAGCCATTTGTCTTCAAACACAATGATACATAGAAATCACTGAAATATTTGACCATTCAATCAGTTTCAATCGATAAATGGGTTTTTATGATAGTAAAATATACAATGTATAATGTATTTTAACAGAAATAAAGTTGAATCACGATAGGCCTACCCTATTTTCTTATAGAAACTATTTCCTACGTTAACGTAGGCCTAAATTTGTTAATGGAAAATGTATATCCGATGGGTCATGGGCTAGAATCCAGTTAAGACACGGGTTAACTGCCGCAAAAAGTATATTTTCATCAACGAATAACGGTTTGGACAAGACAAAGGGGTCTTGTGTGAAAGTGTGAGAGCAAATAGTATACAAACTAACTACTAGCTGAACATAAAAAGGCAAATTCCTTTTACTCAATCCATTTTATACCACCTTCAGTAACTGAATAAACTGCAGAGCGTGATCGCAATATAGATAGCAGAAGCAGAGAACATTCCGACGAGAAGCTAAATCAAATCAAACGTGTTCCTCATAAAGGGAAACGCAGGAATGTTGCTGCTCTGGTGATGGTAATGTCTCACTCGGCTCTCGACTCTGTGATGAGTTGTACGATCATACTCTTGTGTTTGTACGATGAGCGATGTGCGAGAGTTATTTTGAACATTTAATAATAGACTAAACACAAACTGGACAAAGTGAACCATATGCAATGCTAACACATGCGCACAGTGCCAACCTATTTTTGCCATTTCCAGGGTGTAATAATTGTGTTTATTTTAATTGAGTCAGTATGAATTGAACACACATATACAATTGTATATTGGTTGGAAGCAAGATATTAGATGCCTAACTATCTACATACACCGATCACCTCTAGCTCTAAAAATTATACGATTGCACGTGCGCACTGAATCGCCATTTATTTATGTCAGGTACGATAGACCAACTATCGGTTTTAATAGATTTAGTGGTTAGGGCTTGGGCATTTAAAAAATAATGTACCACCAATCACGGGTTTTTAGGTACGTACGAGGTACAGTAACTGCTTGATGCCGTGATTTGGTACCTACCACTGTATATCATACGCGGTTCCTTAAGGCCAAGAAAATTGTCTCTTAATTACTATTCCGACTTCGTAACCATTAGTTACGAATTAAGAGGTCGTGCATCAAAATACATCATCACTTGACAGTACTACAGAGTATGTCAACTAGTCAACCTTATTTAGTATAAACGCAATCCACAGACAACAATCAAACAGAACACTCTACAGGCCTTAATCGCATCAGATGAATCCTAGGCCATTTAAGAATTTCAAAAATCAAAGGTCATCTTCTTTGTTTGATCAGGATCATTTCCCCGATTGACGATCCGGGAAGAATCGGAGTAGAAAGGACGAGGATGAGGATGAAGATGCCGCGTAGGTATGAGGGGAGGTTGGGGAGAGCGAGAGAGAGGGAGAGAGAGAGCGAGAGAGTTTGAGGGGGGTGAGTGGGGGAAGGCTCTCGCCTCGCCTCTTCGCCTGTCAACCACGGCCCGAAGGTTCCACATCTCAATCGAGTAGCGGAGTTTGTCGAGAGTGGATGTGTAGTGTAGTGTAGTCAGTGCTGGTCACCTTCCTAGAGACTACAGCCACCAGGTTTGTAACACAGTATAAACATTGTATAGCAAATAGTTTTATTCTCAGAGTTGATTCCAGAGATTTGGAAACGATTTGTGAAAGCTTGTACAATGAACAATACGGGAGAAAGTGTGTGTGCAAAGTAAACAAGTTGATCGACCGTCACATTTTACGTGAATACAATTTAGTTCCTTCGTAACGCTTTATTTTAAAAACATTCTGTTAAAAACATTACGAGCCTCTTAAGCGTTAAAATACTTGAATTGAATTTTGTAAATTTTTTTTTCTAGTGGCATTTGTATTTTTTCAGTCATGGTGTATAATATTTTATATTAAAATGTAAATTCGATAAAAGTTTTTGATGATAACAGTTTCTTTCCGAAGTTATGTTTATTAATGAGATATTTAATGCAGATTTATTCCTCTTTCAATATGATTTTATTTTGTCGTTAGATTGTTATGAAAAAAAAAAACAACAATATTTATCATAATAAATTGTGCATTTCGTCATTCAATCGTAAAATCAATCATTATTACGAACATTAAACAAAAACAACACTTTCGCCAGTCATTATCATCCAATCAAAATCGCGCTTTGCCGCGCCGAACAATACTGTTGCGAAATGAGCCAACCGCATCACAGTTTGGATTGTTGACATCGTCAGCCAATCAGCAGCGAGAGTGATTGTTGTGTTAATTGTTGCGTCGCGGACATGCGCAGTGGGATGAAGACGCTGGCTGGAGCCGGACCCCCCACGATGATCGCCCTACGCCTGCTCATTTATAATCTTTCTTACAGCGTTATTACTAAATTCAGCCACACGGGCGTAAAAAAACGCGTATAAAATGTTACAACGGATCGTAAAAACCGGCCCGGGACAGTGATCGGTGGTGGAATGGTAGAAAACCGTCGGGATGGAATTGGGGGTAATAGTGACAAGAGTGTGTTAAATGAGGAGGTAAACACGAGAAAATTCGATACTGTTACCAAAGAGAAAAGCACAGCATGTAAAAGTGACCCTGAAAAAGAGAGAAATATTTAGGCATAGTAGCATTGAGTATACATGTAGTAGACATGAGCACACTTATAAACCAACGTGAAACACGCATTAAATCAGTCTCTAGGTCGAGACGTGTATACTTGCTGCATCGAAAGGCAATGAGAATACTACAAATATACTGTATAGCATGAATGATAGGAAGTGTACTAGAGACCTAGAGACAAAATAAATAACTGAACCCTTTTGAGTGTTAAACTGAACCCAAATGTCCTTGTTCAACGGGCTTCGAATGAGAAATAGCTGGTCTGAGTCAGTAACAAAGTGATACTGGTATTTCCAGTAATTCCACTCATCACACATTCGTGTTGTAATCACATTTGCGTGAAAATACACCTTTTAGCGTTAGATGCAATGATCAAACACGAAGGGAAGGGTTAGATGCAATGATCAAACACGAAGGGAAGGGTTAGATGCAATGATCAAACACGAAGGGAAGGGTTAGATGCAATGATCAAACACGAAGGGAAGGGTTAGATACAATGATCAAACACGAAGGGAAGGGTTAGATACAATGATCAAACACGAAGGGAAGGGTTAGATACAATGATCAAACACGAAGGGAAGGGTTAGATACAATGATCAAACACGAAGGGAAGGGTTAGATGCAACAGGAAATAAATCGTTAACCCTGTAATTTATGCGTTCAAAGTTCAAGCAACGCTACAATGCAAACAAATTGCTTTAACAAGCAATTTCATAAAACAAAGCAAATTTTTATCAAATAGCCTAGTTGAACATTTAATTCTCAATAGGTAATTTTTGAATTTTAAAACTCATAAACTGTTTAATTCTTTAACAGCCAATAACTCCGCTCTAAGTGTCAATATTGGTTTAATGTGATAAATTAATATAAATAAAACTGACTGACGGATGAAACAAATAATAAATGCAAACGAATGTATACTTACACCTTTGACATTATTTGTCTAACGGATGTAAACATGCTTATTTAATTCCGTTTATTTTTTCCATGTATTGTGCACAAACTGAACTAAATTCACATAAAGTTACAGTCATCAGACCACAGTTCGTTGAAAGAAATTAAATATATACCTTGTAAAGATGGGGGTCCATTGTCAAGTCAACATCTCAAACAGCAAAACCAAATACCGCAGAATGGTATTTCCCAATCACGTTGATCAAACAATAAAATTATATCATGCAGATCCTAAAAATGTTGTAAATGTTCGGTCAAGCGAAATCTTGAATTTACATTCATAAAATAATAGTAAAATCTCTAGGCATATGTCGTTTCCACCTGAAAATAACACAGTTCATTTATCTTATAAAAGTTTTTCTCTTCTCGCCTAATATTTGAATTTAAATCTGATCAGTTTGTTTTGTATTCTACAAAATGGAAAACTTACGAAAACAAGTGTTATCTTACTCATAATCTTAACGGTAATTAAAAATTTAAATACAACATTTTTATAATTGAAAGGATTTTTGAGATAAGAAAATGCCTTAATGTTAATCGGGAATGTGAGCTATCATCATGCCAAATTTCAGCCCAATCCGTCCAGTAGTTTATGCGTGATTGAGCAACACACACACAAACTCACACACTTACACATTTATAATATTAGTAAGATTGATTGAATAACCTGATTTATGAATTTCATTAAACCCAACCCTGCATCAGCTGTTTGTACAAAGCCATTAGTGGACAATAAGGTCAAACAATAGTAAATTGCTGACATCCTCAAGTGTAAACGCGTCGACGCTATGAGAAAATGAACCTCGAACTCTGGGGAAGCACATTAAACAAGTAGGCAAACTACAAACGTATCATAAGAAAACTTTTGGTGGGAGATTTTGTCGTAAGATGAGTATGTTTTATTAGCGAATTTCCCCTAAGGGAATAAGCTATTACCGTAGTACTCATGGTAAGACCTGGACCCGGGACCGATTTACTTTTTCGTTTTGAGGTCCCTATAGGCCAAACACACCATTCGTTCAAATTCATATGTATATATATTTTAATATTTACAACAACATTTATTTAATTCGTAATATTTGGTACCAGCACGAAGCTAAGGTCGTCTGCGGTCATAACCGATTGAATAAATAATGTACTTATGTGAAATGATGGTTTCAGTGATAACATGTTAATCCCAATTATTATACTTAATAAATGCATATTTTCGTCAACTCTTTGGAGCTTGTTTAAAACATGCATTTATTATATTTATTTATTGGTCTAGGCCTAACAATTTTACAATAATGTTTAACATTCATTCATACTTGAATGAAAATGTGATACTTACCCTTAAAAATATCAGTGTTTTGACAAACCCTCTCTTAATCCCATTTAAAACATTGAAGATATATCAGCTGTTAAATTGTTTTTTTTGTTTTAGTTTGTTTGTTTACTTTTCCTTGAGTTAACCTTTTGATTCTACTACAGATTTTTATATTGCATCAAGAGAAGTGACAGTAAAATTTTCTCATTATGTGGGATGGTGTTTAAACCTTTAATTATGTTCCAATTGTTTATTTATTAGCTTAGTATTACCTATAAATTTTTAAAAACACAGCAATAGTTGTTGCGGACAAATGTTGTGTACCTATACAAAGTGACAGAAGAGTTTGGACGGAGTTGTAGGCCTATGTGTCTCAACTGGGGAAAACGCATCCGTAGAGTATTTTTCCTTGTGAAATGGACATTGATGATATAAATTAGTTTACACCAAGAACAAGTAGTTTGTAATGGACAAGGCGGTGAAGAACAACAACTAGTGTGTTTAATACTTCATGCGTGGATAAATGAATAGGACTCACCACCAACTGTACAGTATGAAGTTAGTTGCTACTTTATAACTTTGCTGACCTTCTATATATTTTCAGAAATTAAGATTCATACCCCTGCCCTTTTGGAAGGGAAGATTTTTCGATCAAAGTTTTACCAAGAAACGTCGACTAAGCTCTCTATAATTTTTTTTCACCAAACTAAATTCAATACTTAGCGCAAAGCCTTGAAAAATGTTGCCTGCTTACCCCCGAAATAAGAACAAAACGAGAAAGTCCGATTTCCATGGTCGAAGCGTTACCTGTTAATCCCAACATTTCCTGCTACAACCCTTCAGTTTAATTAATAGCCAGGCTCCGCAGAGCGTATAGTTACACTTCCTGTCAAATGTAAATGCGATCATCAGCAGAAAGCTACAAGATGATTCCACGCTATAAATGTTTAACAGCTTCCATTTCACACCGCTACGCGCTTTGCAGTGGGATTTAAAATGGTTTCGAATCGGAGATTGTGTAATTCAGATGGGTTTACACGCTGGTTTACACATATTTGGATTTGGACGTGAATCAGTAATCAGTTTATATTAGTTTTGCTATTAATTTTTTAGCCTATAATTAAATTTTTGACATTTTCCTGATAACTTTGCCTGTCACAATAGGTACTTCATATACACCTTACACAATTTTTTTAGTCACCCATTGCAATGTGAAAGGGTTGTTAGTATTATTATAAATAATAGGCAAGTCTCAAAAAGCGTTTATCCGTTTTAGCCCTGCTTGTGTATAAAATATAAGTTTGCTACTGCACCGTTCAACTAGGCTGCAAATTATCTGCACTGCTGCTAGTTTTAGGAGTCGATCACAGTTAATAATATAGGCTACATTCAAGTAAATTTAAACAATATATATAACAGTGACATCTGCAAAAGCTTTAATCTGAGTCTACTAAATTGTTTCGAAATAAAATACGCTGCTCAAAAAAGGCACCAGGTTAAGAAGGGGCTTAGTGATGTATATATTCAGTTATTCTTGACGATTGTTCTGAGCAATTGCAGTTCTTTGATGAGTTTCATAAAATCCTCGGTCTCCTACGACGCCGGATATGTAACTTAACAACTAACGCAAGACAAGAAAACGCATAACGCATAAACTCGAAAGACTGTAAAATAAAAATAACATATAGTTCAAGTTTATAAGGGATGAGTCAAGGTCAGCCATTTTTGTTCCTAAATTTATTTTTTCCACCGTCTTTATCAATATTTCTAAGACTAACAAGATACCTGTTGCCTATCTTATACAATGTACGATAGAAAAACATACACAGGGGAAGAAGATCGACAAAAGTAATACTAGAACATCAAAAGGCTGCGTCTGCCATGGACAAAGCTTCTAATTTCTTTGATGCCGTAAGTTTGAAAAGAGAATGACAATCAGTGAAAGTTTCAATCAACGTTGATTCCAAAGACAGTAGTGAAAAATTAATTATATACATTTTATTTCTTACCTTGTATTGTTTACTTTTCTTTTAACCGAATGGATTAATTCATACAATAATACGGTACCAAAATTCAATCTTATTCGTGCGAAAACGCACAGGTCCCCCTTAACATTATATAAAGTGCGTTTTGATGTGTATTATTTACTGTATTTCCAGTTGGTTTACCAACATTGAAACTATTCAGACCATGCAGAATGATTTGTTTGTAGTCTTTTTAACCGACTTCCCCACTACCAACAAAAGGAGGAGGTTCTCAATTTGTTTGTGGCGATGTTTTTTTTTTTCTATGTATGTTCACCAATTTCTCTGTGATTCTTTTACCGATCAGTGTGGTTCCACCACCAAAATAACCAGGAGAGCTTCTATTTGGTACCTTATATAGTATGTTTAAGTATAATATTTGTTTCGGTGAAAAATTCTGAAAACCTTAAATATTCAACATTTATTTTGTTTACATTTGTGCAGATTGTTTACATTTGTGCAGAGAAGGCAATAAATAATAATAACATTCCTACAGCTGTTAGTTGAAACCATTTAAATGAAGCTACAGACAATTCTTCACGAAACAGTTGCTTCATATTGATCAATAAACTATTTCTTGCCATGGAGCCTAAATGAATTACATTGAGAAAAATGCATTTTGTTTTGGTTACTATAAAAAATGTATTTTAACGTTTGACTTGATTTGTGTATACAGTAATTCTGTTTTTAGTATTAAATATTCTGACTTACAAAAACATATATGTTTCAGTGAATAGCTGTATGATATTGACAAATAAAGGTGTATTGTGAAAACCAAAGCATTCGTAAAACAGGTCTAAATATAAATAAAATGCAATTATTCCTTACACGACCTAAGAAGTGTGACAGTGCATAATCGTCAATTGTCTTAAAAGTGTTAAATATTTTAATTACTAAACATGCATTTGCAGATGTGGAATGTTTATTGATATTCTCTACCCAGTTACTATGTCATATCAATACTATTATGCCTGCTTCGGAAAGTCCTAGAGGAAGATGATTTGCAATTTCGACTAGGCTATATCTTGATCAAACAAAACCACCTACATGGCTTGCACCACTTTTAGCTGAACCAATCTTTCATATACATATTTCATTTGCAGATGTGGAATGTTTATTAATATTATCTACCCAGTTACTATAACATATCAATACGATTATGCCTGCTTCGGAAAGTCCAAGAGGAATATGATTTGCAATTTCGACTAGGCTATATCTTGAGCAAACAAAACCCCCTACATGACTTACACCACTTTTAGCTGAACCAATCTTTCATATAATATTTTCCAAAGGTATTATACGAAAGGCACTATGGTTTTAACGACCAATTTTCCACTTTAGAGAGATTTTTTAGTGCTGGTAGCTGAGGAATAACTTTCATATTGTTCCAAAAGGCTTGAGACGTTACTGTATTTCTTTTTATACCGGTAATGTAGAAGTACACCGATTGCAGGAAACGATGATGTCTGACATTTCAATGTATCTAGAAAAGATAATTAGTTTTTCATTAGGCCTAATGTAATGGACAACTCTTTCTTTCTTAAGGAATATCTATAGATGTTTATTTTCATACCCATTGATTATGTAACCTGAACAGGTGACTCAAGCAGTTTTAAATTAATGATTGTTCTGTGGAACTTTTGATTGTTTCAAACAGTTTTGCTTATCAAAAATAATCAAGTAATTAATATATAAAAAAATATTCAGTCACTAAAAATCATGAAATAATTTATTTTTGTAAAAAAATACAACCGACTTTAAACGCTCTAAAAAGAATGAAATAATTTCAATAAAGTAAACTTTTGTATTAGGCAAGCTCACGTATTTCAAGTCGGCGCGGCTCAAACTGCAAGTATGATTGAAATTAAATATATTGTGTGTGTATTTTGAAAATCAATAAATTGTAGCTGGATAACATAAATATATAAAAAACATACTGAACTGTTTTGTTTATATATTAAAGGAAATATTTTCTTGTATTTTATGTTTACTTCAGAATAAATGCATTATGAAATTAACACACACAAATGTTCTATATGAATAGGAAAATAATTTAGTTTGATTTTATGATAGGGAAAAGAAGCTAGTTTAGTATTAAAACGTTACTTTTCCAAGTTTGAAACATTTAAATGCGTTATAATCTTTTTAAAGATACTCGTTAATACCCCTATAATGCCGATCTCTGATTACGGTAATAAAATAACACTTAACGCGTAACTATGAAAAAGACATGCAGATTAACACCTTTAGTTATAGATAGTCATCTGCAATATGGACACCCTCTTTCAATTTTGTATCAAAAATCATCATAGAGCCACGCCGACTTAAAATACGTGAGCTTGCCTAATACAAAAGTTTACTTTATTGAAATTATTTCATTCTTTTTAGAGCGTTTGAAGTCGGTTGTATTTTTTTACAAAATAAATTATTATAACTATCTGGTATTACTATCAAGATATGTTAGATCGGGCACTGTACGTAAAACTAACTCTCTCATGTTTATTTTCAGAGACCTGGGAATAACCCTGCCGATTGGAAATGCCAACTTTACTTTTCGTCCTACATTGAGGTAAGATATCCTTTACACTTATTATTACTGAATATGTTTTTAACGATATGCAACGTATTTAAAATTCTATTAATAACTAGGGCATTCACATTGCTATTAGTACGTAAAGCTTAAGCTATACCGTTGTAATATACGACGTTCAATGGGAGTTAAAAATGAAAACTATGAAATATGCATATATTTAGAGCATTCACAACCGCTCTTTAGTACGATTAAGTTAATTGTTTGAAATACAGTACATTAAAAATAACCCTTGCATTTTCGTGGTGTTTGACGAATATAAGAACAACATATGAGGAAATTAAACTTTCGCTAGATATTCTTACTCACGAAGATATATATTAATTTAAAATTGAATATTATATAACTAATAATCGAGGTATATTATGGGAATCAAGTATTAATGGGTTTAGTTAGAGAAACCTTAGTGGAATACATTCATAGCCATACAAATCTGAAGCATCCGTCAAGGACTCTGTTTTTGTTTTGTGCTCGCCATGAAACCAGTTCGCTGCCAGCATCAGCTATTTACAAACTAATGACTTAATTATAATGAATCGCCTTTATTTGGGTATAATTACAGACAATCGTTGTCAATCAAGGTCCAGAGCGCCCTACCGCGGTGTCGGGCGCAAAGGTGGTGCCACGGAGCGTCCCAAGGGTTCTAGAAGCCTCATGGGATGCCCTAAGCCCTAACCAGATACCGTAGGATGTGCAACAGTTTGTCGCTGTGGCTCCACAGTTCCACCACGTACCGTTTCGTGTAATCGTAACACATTTTGGCAATATCAACGCAGTTCTAACTTATCCAAACACGTCCATTCAATGTCAACACCTCTTAACGCACTTGCAACTGTATTTGAACATTCTGTGGCCTCATCAAGGTCAATATATTAAATATATCTGAGTTGACAAAGTTTCGATTTAAAATCTTAGTCTGAGGCTAAATTCAGAGAAAATGTAAATCTCTACAAATTTAGTCCTGCAAAGTGCAAATTGGGGATTTTTGCCCTAGTAAACTTTTAATAATACACCCCCTACCCTCTTTCTGTAATAGGTCCATTTTTCCAGTTTGAGTCTACAACCTAGACGGTAGTTAATTTGCTAGTATATATTATAGATAAACCCCTCCTACAGTTTCCAGTCAATTTTAAAGATTTTCGTGACATTTGGCAGAGTGTGACAATCAGTAGGTTTTCGTCGTTGTGATGATCCCTTAGTTTTTACTTTTCCATAAGACTGTCATGCTGGGATTATTATCCTTAGAAATACCATTAACATCTAATAAAAGAATAATTTCATACAATTCTTCTGAGGTCGTGTCAATCAACAAATATTAGGTGACGTGTTTACGTGAAGGACCTCGTTAGCGCGTGTAGACGTATCCAGCAGCTATGTGTACATAGAACATCTACAAACACTCTGATTTACATAGGTAGACGCGTGGCGGTGTTTGTTCTTGGAGTGTTTGCTCAAGGATTACTGCCCTCGTGGGCTACTGTGGCTCTTGCTGTGTCAACAAAGATCTTCAACCCACTTGTTGCTTCAGTCCAGTCCCCAGAGCTACCTGAACCTGGAGTTGACCTGACGCTAATGCACCATCTTCTGCTCGTATCTTTAGTCGCAGATTAGTAGACAAATCTTCAATGGCCCCACCATCATTGAATCATGATCACCAGCTCATATTAGTCGGCATTAACTTTGATGAAGAACAAACTTGTCTGCATTCCTATTTGTCAAAATTTATCTATTGTTAAGTTCACGACGCCTTTACGATTAGTGACTCTCAGTCAGAATATCACATCGTGAAAAATACTACTATTGCTATTTGCTTAAAATTAATAACACACACAAACTTGTCTTGGGTTTTCGTTGGCCAGGTGGATAATGTGAGAGTGTTTCTAGATCACAGCTCACTCCTTGCTCCAAGTATTATCTTGACTACTCGTTCATGATAGGACCTAACAGAATAATTTCCTGAGGCTATTATAAAATGTGTAACAAGATAAAGTGCTGATTTAGTCTTCATTACCAAAATATTTTCATAAGCTCGATACAAGCTACCATTTACCGATTCTTACTTGGGGCATATTCAGAGAGAGAATACAATGTATACTACTAGACCATCTAGGGGTAAAACCTCTTTGGCAAAATACAAAACTGAAAGTCATACCTTGTTTTAACTCCCTGATTGGCTTACACTATCACTGGTAGGTATATGACTCATGCACTAGACAATATTCTTTTCACAGTCTTTATCCAGCAATCACGCAAGATAACTCAAAATGGCTTTGAACTTATGAACTCTTTCCGAGATTATCCTCAAGCATTTCATGCGATATCCGAACAAACACCACACTTAGCGATGCAATCAGCTGAACGGAATGTAGAGTTTAATTTGAATGGGTAAAATACAGAGTTAATTGATAATAGAGACCGCGGAGCGGAGGTCAATGTGAGAATAGCTGCCAATAACGAATCAATTGAAAGGAACGCTTCTTCAGACCAGCTGTTGCTGACTCATCAACTTCTCCTCACGACTGTTGATTCTGTTATGATGTTATACTGTAACTGGGTAGCTGAATGGTTATAGTACTCGCCTGGTTATCAAAAGTTTGCCGGTTCGATCCTGAGTTAGTATCTTTTGAAGGTCTGGAACTGGACCTTTCTATCTTTTATCTTTTCTTTATATTTTTTTACCTTTTCTTTATCTGGATCTATCTTTTATCATTGTCTTTTATATGGTCCTGGCTAATGTAACAGCTGATCTTAGTTAGTAACAAAGCTACACAAGGCATCTCACTTCATCCTAGACTCACCCTTCACTCATATTTGGGTTAAAATACACTTTGGGTAGTGTCTCATCTGAATTAGTAATACAAATTGCTAATAATAAAAATTAGAGACTCGCTCCTACGTAATGAAGTACTAGATAATTTTGCGATTCCATAACAACATTTTTACGGGTTTATTTATTACTAGCTGTTGTACCCGTGCTTTGCAACGGGAAGAGGACACAAAATGGAAACATTTTAATCTTTGCATCTGTTGCATATAATAATTACACATCCGCCAAAGCTTTTAGAAACAAAATAATTAAACTTTTATGGCCTTAATAGAAAGGTTTAAGTTATGATTTTTAAATCTCGTAAGTAGTGGATACCACCATTTTGGTTTTGATTAATTTTAAATCTTGTGTAGGCTGATATGAGAAAAACTGACCAAATTTTCGAATTAAACTTTTACATACGATTTACCTTCATCTCCCTTAATTACATATATTTTTATTTATAATTGGCATTATAAATTTCAATTTTGAAGTTGCAAAAATACCTATTATTAAATTTAAATGGACATTTTTTTTAAATTTCACTCTTCTTCATATTAAATAACAAATCATTCAATCTTCAGTTTCTTCACTCACAATAAATCATCAGCCAAACTAAGTCAGCTGTTATAAACTTTAGAAATATTCTTGTGCCTTATCAATACAGTCTTTTGAAATATTAAAGAAACTATATCTATACTATAAACAATTTTAAACAAATATTTTAGCACTAAAGACAGCAGACAAAACTAATATGATTATCAAAGCGTCGAGGAATCAATGCTTCTGAATGGGAAAAGATTGTTATGGGGGTGCCTCAGGGCTCTATATTAGGACCGTTATTGTTTTTGATGTACATAAATGATCTACCTAAGAATGTTAAACCTAGTTTGTTGTTATATGCTGATGATACGACAGCCATCATTAAATTAAAGACAGTCATGAACTAAGTTTAGCCTTGAATCAAGCTCTTCAAGATCTGTCAAAACGGTTTAAAGTAAACGGTTTAAAAATGAACCACATTAAAACACAAATAGTAAAATTTCAAACTGCACAGTGTAGGGACGATCTTGAAGGCTTTGTTTATTTTGATAATGAAAAAATAAATCTCAGCAACACAGCTAAATTTTTAGGAATTGATGTAGATAGTTTATTGAATTGGAAGAATCACATTCATAACACCTCTAAAAAGTTAAATTCAGTATGTTTTCAAATGTTGGTCTTAAGAAATGTTGTTGATTTAAACACTAGACTAATGATTTATCACGCTTTATTTTCGTCAATTTTACAGTATGGAATAGAGCTTTGGGGCGTCACATCTGATTCGTATCAACTTTTTAAACTTCAAAAAAGAATACTTAGAATTATGACTTTTAAACCCGTAAAACATTCTTGCAAACAACTTTTTAAAGAACTAAAGATTCTAACCGTCCCTAATTTGTATATTCTTAAATGTTTATTGTATGTGAAATCAAATTTTGAAAAACTCCACAGTGAAAATAATCAACACAATTATAACACTAGATTTCATACAGATTTTCAATATCCTATACACAGATTAAATCTTGTGGAAAGGACACCTTCTTATATGGGTAAAAGATTTTTTAACAATTTGCCTGGGTACTACAAATCTATAATAGGATTAGTATCTTTTAAAGAAAAAATTTTTGAATTTTTATTGGAAAAGAATTATTATAGTATTGGTCAGTTTCTTGAAGATAAATCAATGTGAATTGTTTGTTTTGTTACCTACTATGTATTTATTTTTACCAATATAAGCTAGTTTATTTTAGTATAGTTTGACAATGTCACCTGTTTTGTCTGGCTGTGCCAGAGCATAAAAAAAACGTTTTGTGACAATAAAGATGACTTTGACTTTGACTTTGAGGACTAAAAATGAAATAGCAAATACAGTATATGTTTCATTGCATCTCTGATTCTACTCTACAAAAATATCAACAAACAACTTACAAACCAGTTCTTTTAATCAGTTCCATCATCCATTGCCTTTAAATTTTCACACTTACCAAAAAAATGAAATGAAATGTTTTAAGTAAACGTAGTAACAGATATTTTATTGATTTTATAAACAAAAGAACACTGTGTACTGCTTAGTTTTATGATATTTTCCTTGCTTTAATTTAATCAGTGGTGTGGCAAAACACAAATAATA